GTGTGTGTGTGTGTGTGTGTGTGTGTGTGTGTGTGTGTGTGTGTGTGGGCCCTCAGCGAGGCATAATAAAGTTCATTTTGATAACACAGCAGGAGGCAGGGAGAGCTTTAATCTTGGTCTCAGTTTGCTGTGTTAGCAGGGCTAAAACAGGCGGACCTCCATACCATCCTGCAAGACCCCTCCCCCATCTTTATATGATGCTGCTACAGTCAGAGTCACCTTTGTCACTGAGACATACTGTAACAGTTCATCCAAGACAATATTTACAAGGAATACATATTTTTTACTTTATTAAAAATGAATAATTTAATGAAGGTGCTTTTCTTTTCCAGCAGTTCAGAGCAAAACACCTTAAAAAGTACACACAAATTAAATGAAGTACTGCTTTTGAACCCTTTAGAGTAAATTCACAAGCTTGGCCTCTTTTCAAAGTTAATAATCTGAATTTTTAACTTCAGCAGTCATATTCTTTGTAACTTTAACCAGTATTTAGTATATTGAAGTAAAAGTACACAAAAATCAAGATATTTTCTCCCTAAATTTTTATTTTTTATTTAAAATGTATCACAGAACATGAAGGGAATGAGATATTATCAAACAATTTTTACTGGGCTAAAATATTAATTTCCAAGTAGCATAAAATATGAATATTTGAGTCATAGTACAATCCAGCATGTCCCATTTGCATATTTGTACACTTGTACAATATGTACAGACTGTGCACTTTGTCTAAAGCCCTGTAATTTCTAAATGCTTCAACACAGAGACTTCACTCTGAGCTCAAATTAAAGATAAAACCCCCACAAAACACATTCTACCATCAATATTTACTCACAGCATGATTAAATTAAAAAAATATATATCAATAGTCTGAAATATTTTTACTATCTAGAGTACATTCAGCCACCAAACAGCCAAAAAACAAGAATAAACAAATATATCCTTATTTCTTTCAAAACATTAACATTTAACACAGCTTATAAAACCACCAGCAGTGAAAAAATGTTTGTTTTTACTTACATTTGATGCATATTTGTCCTCAAATATGACGAAATTAGCGATTCAAAATGGCCGACCTGAAGTCTTTTTATCCAAACATTTTTACTTGTCCTGGCAACAAAAATCACTCTTCCATGTCTTGAAACACTTAATCACAAATATATTTTCATCTTATCAGCAGGTTTAGTCAGCTAACTGGTCAAAAAACGATGGAAAAAAAATGTTTTCCTGTGAGTGTGGCTTTCTTCGGTAGTGTAGCACGACTGCCTACAAATGGCGACCTACTCTGTGTTTAGTTTGTGCGTCACTAAACAAAGTTCCCACCCCCTCAAAGTATATACCAAATGAAAGGTACGGTGATTGGCTACACAGCTGTGGCATCAGAACGAAGCTCGGAGCTGACTGACCGATTCTACAGTCAATCTTGTCCAGGATGACGGAAACCAGAAGTTGGTCACTTCACATTGATTATTGGCTCTGGACAGCCATTTTGATGCATTAAACATGGACACATGTTGAACGGAAACACAGAAAGATGTTTCAAGATAAAACAAACCTTTAATCGGCACACGGGCGTTCTGCTGAATGTACACTGTATTCTTTCAGACTGTCTCCATTTTCATTTACTGTATGTTCCAAAGAGGTTTATCCCAGAATGCTAAAATATAAAGCATTTTTTTATCTGCATCTCTTTCTTTATTGAACTCATCTGACATTTGTGATTTACAAAATCTGCCAAAAGCAAAGGTGTGATTGTGTTCTTGCTCGTTCATGTGTGAGTGGGTTCATTTGTTTTTACCACTAATGAAACTTTCAGGAAATAATCATTGGATGTATATCTGGAACTGATTAACTGTTGGAGTCAGCCAGATTCAATGTGTTTGCTACAGTTAAGCAACCTTAGCAAACACAAATGAATATAACTCTGTGTGTTGTACAGATATTGAGGCAAAATGAGGTGTTGTGTTAGCTGAGGGTAATCCCCAACATATATTCTGAGCCCCCACCACCCCATCTATTTTGACCAGTTTGTGGATGAACAATATTGGGTGACGAGTCTTAGACTTTTTTCCCCGAATTGTTGACTCCAGCGGGAAGGACCCCCATGCAGTGAGTGATGTCTGCTGCAGCGTGAGGGGTTTCCCAGGAGCTCGACACGGTGTATCTGTGGCTATGAAACGTGTGTGTGAAAATGACCACTCATCAACCACACGATGGCGCGTCGTCTGGTCGGCTGCTGAGCGACCATGTAGGCTGTAGGTGAGGAGCTCCATCATCCAGGAAGTGCTCAGAGTATAACTGCTGCTCCTCCACACTGACAGTAATCAGCTGAGGTGCTTCAGGTGTGTAAGACCTCATTTTGTAATAACAACGTATTATGTAATAATGTAATAAAATCAGGCTTCAAAATGTAATAAACTCGCGCTAAAACCGCATTATGTAATAACTGACACAAAATGTGATAAAAGTCTTCAAAGCATTATGTAATAATGTTATTACATTTTGCGGCAGTTGTTACAAAATGTGGTGGTGTAATAATCTGGTGCATTATGTAATAAACATTAAAAAACAAGTACCGTATTTTTCGGACTATAAGCCGCGACTTTTTTCCTGAACTTTGAACCATGTGGCTTATACTCCGGTGCGGCTTCTATGTGGATTTTTTTCTTCAGCCACCAGGGGGCTCTTATGCTGCATTTGCTTCAACCACTCCCTTCAAAAAAAGAAGGAAAAAAAAGATAAAAGCGATCCTTCCAGAGCCGACTGTTGACCAGGAAGCAGCGATTTAAAGATAGTCATTGGCCAAAAACTCATAAAAGGGGATAAAACAGACATTTTTCACGGTGGAATCTGACCGATAAAAACTTTGGAGCTTAATCCAGGACCAGTTTGTGGATAAATGTCGAGTGAAGAGCTGCTAACGTTTTTTTTTTTTTTCGGCATTGCACTCCCCGGGGAAGGAATCCCATGCAGTGACATATGCTGGAGCGGGAGGGCTTTCCCAGTAGC